CAGAGTCAAAGATAAGCAGAATTTTAAAGGCAATCAGGAAATATAAATCTCTGGCATACAAGCAACACTTTGGTTGTTAACCAGCAACTTAACCTGCTTGTACTGTGAGTGGAATAGACAATAGATCCTGTGTAAGGGGCTGTGGGAAAATAAAATGTAGTTAAAATGTAGGGCAGAGGCCAAGAGCTGTAGAGTTTAAGGGCTTGCAAAGCAGAGCTCCCTGAAGGTCTCTATATGGAAATAGGATGCAAAATTTACTATAATCCAGAAAATTTATTTTTTAAGTGTACAAGAATCAAAGTTTTTGGGTCTTAAATGTCTGTATTGTCTCTTTTTGGAGCACATCTCTGTTACAGTTCACCCATGTATTTTCTCTTTATCCATCTTCCCATCTCCTTCAGCTCTCCCTCCATCTCTCCCACCACCCATCTGCTGCTTAATCCCCTCCTTGTTTTACTGTGGCTTCATCAGAGCCTGTAAAAACAGCCTCCTTTGAACCCCATAAAGGCAACCAGCATCAGGCTTATTGTAAAACACAATCATAAGGTAAATGTTTATCCCCTCTCTGCCACTCTGAACTCCCCTAATGAGCCTCCTGGAGGACTTTCACATCATAGCTTGAATAGAGGAAGCGAAAAACAACACATTCTGCACAGATTAGACCGGCGGTGGAGATACAGCTAAAGTCCCATCATGAAAACAATGTGTAGCATAAACACAGCAAGAAACTAATTTTATGATCAAATGTCAGCAAAAACACAAACAGGCATTACAATTGCAGAAGTGCCAAACTGGCTCTACTGACGTTAAGTATTGAGTGAGCAGTTAAATGTGCTAAATATAGAAATGAATATTTTCATTGTAGTTTCTTCCAGGAATCTTGTGTAAATTGTATTGTTCTGTTTGTACTGTAGCAGTTCCTGGCAGAGCACATTATGATTGGCTGGGAAGGATAAGTCCTCTGACCCTGCTCTTCCTAACAGCCACTGGCTGTTCTGACCTACCCATTATCCATCTGTGACCCCACTATTATACCCAGTGTCAGTACACGGCGCTACGCTGAGCCGCACTGCCCTGCGCTGTGGATGGGCCATCAGTCTCACCTCTGAACAGCAACGCTAGCCCACACAGCCAGAGACACACAGAGAGGGTTAGAGAAAAGAGAGTTGAGAGTTATAATAAGCAGGTAGTTAGAGGTTAGAGGTCCTGTGCAATCGGGACAGCAGTTCCACTCCTGGCAGCCAGAACGCAACTCTAAGAGGGACCTGGAAGTAGATATGATGACCTTTTGTACAGAGGACCCCAAAATATACCCTCTTATCAAAATGACCTTAACGTTAGAGCATGGGAAGGAGAGCAGAGCCATCCATCATCTTAAAGATTAATCCTCCGCTCTATTCTTCTCCTGAATCTATTAATAATGTTGCCAGAGGAGAGAACTTGCAGCAAAGATTTATTCTGATATTGTGACTTTTATTCATTAGCCTATAACAGGGGGATTCCTTAAGAAGGAAATACAGAGTGAGCTTAAGGAATTTTAATTCACTGCTGCTGCTCTATTTGAACTATGCAGAACTCTATTAACACAGTCATTAAATTTGCTGACAACACATTCCATGTCAGCGTCCCACAAATAGAGAAGATTATCATTTACACTGCTGAGGTCACCAATCACTTGATCTTTTAAAGCAATTCTAAGTGGCTGCCATTTGATAACGCGCAAACATCTAATGCGGTGGCAGGTGTGAAGCTTCAGTCAATTGAACTAAAAAGCCTTCTACTTGGATCAGAGTTTTTCCTCACTCGTTTAGACAAAGCACCTACATTAATAGATCAGTGCACTGCATTTCACAGTGTGGAGCAGCACTGACAGCCCCAGGGGCATACTTCAATTAGAGAGTTAGGTGAGTTTAAACACTGCAGATCTACTCTCGCTCAAAGGCGCTTGTCTCTCTCTCTCTCTCTCTTCCTCCCTCTCAGCCTCTCTCCCCATATCTGTGCTGAGCACTCACTCTCCTTCTTCAAGTCCTGCTCTCTGTAATCAACCCAGTGCTAATGGCTTATTCTTTCTGCTTCAGCACCCACATTTCACTTGTTTATTTTCCCACACTCGTAAATCTGGGGACGCGTCACAAGCGCAGCGATATTAGAGCAATAATCTCAGGTAATTATCAGATGCCCCCTCTCACTTTTTCTCCCTCTATCTGCCTCCCTTTCTCTCTCTCTCTTTTACGCAGAGACACCCATACACCGTTTCCTGGGAAGTGTGTAGGCTGTATGTGAGAATCTAAACATTGTCATACAGACATTTCTTTCATATCACTGATTAATGTAACAGAAATTAAAAAGGCAAGCATCTTTTTATTTATATAACTCCAAATCACAGACTCTGTGCTTGAACCTTGGCTTTGGTTAAGAACATACAGTGGGTACGGAAAGTATTCAGACCCCCTTAAATTTTTCACTCTTTGTTATATTGCAGCCATATGCTAAAATCATTTAAGTTCATTTTTTACCCTACAGCTCACAGTGCATGTCAGAGCAAATGAGAATCATGAGGTCAAAGGAACTGCCTGAAGAGCTCAGAGACAGAATTGTGGCAAGGCACAGATCTGGCCAAGGTTACAAAAAAAAATTTCTGCTGCACTTAAGGTTCCTAAGAGCACAGTGGCCTCCATAATCCTTAAATGGAAGACGTTTGGGACGACCAGAACCCTTCCTAGAGCTGGCCGTCCGGTCAAACTGAGCTATCGGGGGAGAAGAGCCTTGGTGAGAGAGGTACAGAAGAACCCAAAGATGACTGTGGCTGAGCTCCAGAGATGCAGTCGGGAGATGGGAGAAAGTTGTAGAAAGTCAACCCTCACTGCAGCCCTCCACCAGTCGGGGCTTTATGGCAGAGTGGCCCGACGGAAGCCTCTCCTCAGTGCAAGACACATGAAAGCCCGCATGGAGTTTGCTAAAAAACACCTGAAGGACTCCAAGATGGTGAGAAATAAGATTCTCTGGTCTGATGAGACCAAGATAGAACTTTTTGGCCTTAATTCTAAGCGGTATGTGTGGAGAAAACCAGGCACTGCTCATCACCTGTCCAATACAGTCCCAACAGTGCAGCATGGTGGTGGCAGCCTCCTGCTATGGGGGTGTTTTTCAGCTGCAGGGACCGGACGACTGGTTGCAATCGAGGGAAGGATGAATGCGGCCAAGTACAGGGATATCCTGGACGAAAACCTTCTCCAGAGTGCTCAGGACCTCAGATTGGGCCGAAGGTTCACCTTCCAACAAGACAATGACCCTAAGCACACAGCTAAAATAACGAAGGAGTGGCTTTACAACAACTCTGTGACTGTTCTTGAATGGCCCAGCCAGAGCCCTGACTTAAACCCCATTGAGCATCTCTGGAGAGACCTGAAAATGGCTGTCCACCAACGTTTACCATCCAACCTGACAGCACTGGAGAGGATCTGCAAGGAGGAATGGCAGAGGATCCCCAAATGCAGGTGTGAACTTGTTGCATCATTCCCAAAAAGACTCATGGCTGTATTAGCTCAAAAGGGTGCTTCTACTAAATACTGAGCAAAGGGTCTGAATACTTATGACCATGTGATATTTCAGTTTTTCTTTTTTAATAAATCTGCAAAAATGTCAAAAATTCTGTGTTTTTCTGTCAATATGGGGTGCTGTGTGTACATTAATGAGGAAAAAATGAACTTAAATGATTTTAGCATATGGCTGCAATATAACAAAGAGTGAAAAATTTAAGGGGGTCTGAATACTTTCCGTACCCACTGTAAACAGGGGATATAAACAAGGGTCTAAATGAATAAAAACATAATAGGTAAAAAAACCTCAGGAGAAGGAAGTATCCTTCCTCCAGGACAGACAGACATGAAATAGATCTTGTGTATATATACAATGTACTCTTGCCTATCACAGGACTGTCAAATATCAAATGAATAAATTGCATAGCACATAACATTTCATATAATAAGTTAAAGAATATTGCTGACAAGATTCTGGCCCTATTATCCTGAAATAGGGCACAGCAATTATATATAGTGCAATCTACCCACAGATGCATCCTTTAAGGACAGCTGATGCATCCTGACTCATGCCAGACCTGTTCAACTAGAGTTTAAATATCATGTTTTAAAATAATCTTTCAGAATTATCACACATATTTCATAATTTTGATAATTTCACAATACATTTTTACAGTGAATTCTGGCAGATGAGTTGCGGATTTAAGGGTTTAATTTAATTTGGTGTGGCCGTCCAAGTACCTGTTCTTTGGCTTTATGGACTAGATTGTTAGGAAGATTGCCATGTGCCTGCATTTGCAATAAAAAAAGTTACGCTTTCTTTGCACTGGCAGAAAAATAGAGACCTTTAAGTTTAATGGCCATAAAACCCCATGACCAAAGACCAAAACCAGCAGAACATTAGTCCATCTATCAATACTGTCCAACCTTCCTATACTGTCTATGGCCAATCTGGCAGCAGGCCCCAGTTATCTTTAAAGGGGATAAAGAAAAAAGATATATACTTTAATTTACTTAAAATAATTTTCATTGACAGATGGGAACTGTAGTTTTTTGGAGTAAATAGAGCCAAATAGTGCATTTGTTGGGCACTCTCTTTGAACACGGATTAATACACATTTGGTATCCTAGTGACTATTAATGGCAGCAGAATGGTTTTCAGTATGGGGTGGGTGCAAAATAAACTACAGCGTTCACTGCAGTGAAGAAATGTACCACCCACTGCACCAGAGTGGATCATTTATTTAATACAATTTTTCAACAACTAACGTCTATGACGCAGACAAATCAGTTTCTGTATATAATGTTTTGGCTACATAGACAATGCCTGTTAGAAGAATCAGATCATTGCAAATTCGTTATGGTATTTGTTGCCAAGATGACAAATACAGACTTTCAGACTTACTGTATCCTTTCAGCCTTTCAATCTAGGGGTTTGTTGAAGGTCCAGCTCTCACTTACCCACTCCTGGTGTATAAGGTTAACAGCCTTGCTGGCCCGGGACAGGTTTCGACATGCCAGGACCACATGGGCACCGTGAAGAGCAAAAGACCTGGCCGTCTCAAAGCCTGAAGCATGAGGAGGGAAACAGAGAGACAGACAGACAAAGACATGAAGAAAAAATAATAAAAGCAGGGAAAAATTAGTTTCTTCTGAAGATAACTTTGATTTTCAGGAGTTGAACCTAATTATCAATTTTCCATATAATTTCTCTCACTGAGTAACTCAGCGGTCTAGTAGATGGAGTTATCATTTCTCTCTGAAGTGATGAAAGTTTGGGATCTGACCGCCGGCTTTCCAGAAGGTATCGCTGCTCATACTGGGAGGTTGGTTGTTAATTATATTGTTAATTATACAGTGATGGCAGTAATTATGAAAACATGGCTCTTAACAGACAAACTCGAATGAACAACTGGACGACATGACATTCGGGCTGAACCTTAGTCTGATATTTCAGAACATCAAAGCGCCTCTGATAAGGACATTTCTCCCATGAACCGAGGTCCGCAGATACGCACAGAATTTATCAGTCCAAGACTTCATGGCTCCGTCCAAATCACAGTCATGATGAAACTGACAAAAAGTGAAGATAGACAGAGAAGTTCATTTCTAAATTATAAGTCTAAATGGGTCATTTCAACCCGTAGGTTGAATTAATTTATGCGATTAACTTTTCTCCTTCACCGTATATTTATTTCTTTTGACATTTACTATCCTCCACAATATTCAATAGCACAGAGGAGCATCACAGTTTTCAATCCCACTTCTAAATACAAGCTCCACTCAGATAGGCCCATTTACAGTCTGTGCACCCTGGCTGACAAACTGACGGGCACAGTAAGTGACTGTGGCAAAGAGGGTCTGAAAGGCAGAGTAGGAGGCAGTGTATCAGGGGGTGGATTAATATGAACTGTAATTAGATTATATGTCTTAATCTGATTTTCATTAAGAGCAAAACTGGGAGGCCTAATTGTGAGAAGAGCGTTAAAGACTAATATCTATTAAAACTCAAAATTGGAGTAGGATTGGAAGCTCTTTCTGACAAGTGAACCATGGAATTAAATTATTTGACACCTTATTAGGTGTAATGGAGGGGACTGTGGCTGTGAGCGGAGATCATTTCACTCACAGGAAATGGAAATGAAAATAAAAACAAAATGACAGAAAAAACGAGCAGTGTGACTCCTGGAGTAAATATGCGCTTTGAGATTATGAGCAGCAGGCTTTAGGTAGCAAACGTCATCAAATCATCTCAGCGTCATGTACAATGTTGAATTTTCACATCAATTTAATGTAAATACTAATTATAAAAAATAATAATAATGCCCCTTTAAAATGTTAAAGATGTGTCTGGTTTTAAGGGTACGGCATATTCAAAATGAGTACAACAGAGCACCCACATAAATTTGAAAATGATAAATAAAGGATGCCATAATTTAAACTTTTTTTTCCAGCCTTTATAAATTGGACAAGAGTACTGGCTGCTGGTAAACAACAACACCTCACACTCACTTGTTGTGTGTACAAACCATGAAAGTGAAATTAATCGGCACCAATGTTTTCCATAATGGAGAACAAATTAGAATATGGCAGCAACAACAGCTGCAGCACCGTAGCCATGTATTTCCAATGACAAATAACAAGGGCTTGACATTAATTGTGAAATAACGAGAGCGGCGTTGCTGTAAAAGAGACTCCCCGGCCTCTCAACCCATGTTGCCAGTGGAGAGGGCTGCACCGAAATTAGTTCCCAGTCAGGTGTACAACAAAGAGAGTGTGTTTTAGCATTGTACGCTGATGGTGGAACATGACGAGAGGTCAGAGGGAGGTTTCTTTTGGTCTGGTGGATCGACAGGCGCCAGGAGCTGTTTTACAACACTCAGGAGGCATGACTGTAATGGTACACTGTTATGAGCTTCCAGGTTCTTTAATCGGACAAGAACATGGTAAACACGGATAAGAAGAAAAGTGTGTCCGTGATCAGGACATTTTTAAAAAGGTGTGAGATGAAGACATCAAAGTTCAGCCAAGTAAAAGGAGATTCTTTCACTGAGTGCCTATTCAATCTGAAGCTTTGCAATCTAACAAAAATACAGTAAACATCTCAGCTGGTACTGAGAATTTACGTTACTGTAATGTATAAAAATTGTGTAAAATGTCCATTAAGCAGTGAATGCTCTTCATGGTACATTAGGATCCTGGCCCTACTGATATCCCCCAATAATGGGTGTGATTTAGTGATTTCACGCTTTGTTTGTCCTCCCTGGCCTGCCGCCCCTCTCTGGATCCCCCTCGTACACAGGTGTACTGGCTCAATGTAATGAGATCATTACCAGCCTCATCAGTAAACCTGTTTATTTGGCAAACGGAACTGCCTGCTCCTTCTCTCCCTTGATCTGCATCCAAAGAGGCATTTAACTAAAATAAGCTCTGCAGTACAATTGGGCAAACAGAAATCAGATCAGATCATTACAAGACCTGTGGGTAAACATGCGGAGTTCCCACAATCCCCTTTAAATTTTGTACTCAAAAGAGCAACACAGATCATGAACAGGCTACATATCACTCCACCTCAATGAATTAGATGGCATTTTAACTCTAATGCACAGCATAAAAATAATAAATTAAACTGGCTAGTTTAATTTGGTGCAGTGAATTTGATTTATTCATAAAAGTTCTTGGGCCTTTGAGTTGGTGAAGTGTTTATAAATTAGTACAGTTATTAGAAGTGATGTGGCTCACAAGCACGCGGCAGACCCCCTCCACCTGGTCCACCGCTGCCACTGCTCTGTCACACAGTAAATTTGATCTTTTTACCCCAAGATCCCCCAGTTAGTAATGAGGTAAAGTGATGACTGATTCACAAGTGTCAGAAAATGCTGCAACTAAGATTATTTTTATTATTGGTTAATTTATTATTGATTGACAAGTTAATTTCTTAATTAATTAACATCGGATCAATAAACTGTCAGAAAATGTGGGGGAAAGCCTGTTATAATTTTCTTGCATCAAAGGTAAAGTCTTCAAATTGTTGTTCTGTGCAACAGTTCAAAGCCTCAACATACTTAGTTTACAATGACATTCTCACACTGGAGAAGCTGAAACGAGGAAGCAGTTGTTTCTGTTTGTTTGAAAACTCAGTTTTATTTATTGTCCCAAATTGCACAACCCCCCCCCACACACACACACACACACACACTTTTTGACTTTTAAGATCCCCTCTAATTCCCCTCCATTAGTCCAAGAGGAGGGAGATGTCACCCCAAAAGTGAAATGTATGGTTAGTAATTACGGCCCAAGGTTGAGCTGTTACAGGCGAGAGCACTGGAGTGGTTCTATTACCCCTCCCTGTCCCCTTTTGCCTCCTTCCTACCCCCCCACCCCACGCAACACACACACACACACACTGCTGTCTCACCGTCTATGCAGCCCTGTCTAGTACCCACCCCCTCCTCCTCTGACCCTCTGTGTCAACCTCCAACTCCCTACACAATCTCTCATCATGGCCTCACATGACACAGGTCACCCTGATCCTCCCTCAGCCAGCTTTACCTGACCACCTCAGACACACACACACAGGCCGGTAAACTTGATAAACTCACCAAATCCCACACATGCAGGATAAACACAGACCGCAGAAGCCTGCTCATGCACACATATCTCCTGAGCATTGGGGCTATTTTCATCACTACCATCACAATCACCCCCACCCACTACCACCACCACCATGTAACTTTCATCCCCTCATCATCCGCAGACTGTAAACTCAAAAGGTCTATAACCTACTTGACTACACACAATAACACAGTAGTACCCTTTCATTTTATTTTACCTACAGCCTTTAAGCACATATATGTATTCCATCCTCTCTCTAACCACTTCAGCTCTATTATATTAGAGCTGTAATCATTATTGAACCTTTCTGGCCCTCAGCATAACACCCTTTGCATGTTACACCAGTTTGGGGCTGCATAGCAAATTTCAACCAAGGTTAATAAAGTTGAATAATTTGACTAACCAACCATAACTGGTTCTCATTACGTAGCCAATAAACACATTCATCAGAAAAGACATGAAATGCTTGTTGAAGAAAAGGAAAAAAAACTCTCCTTCGATTTCCTCGGTGGCTCAGTTCACAAGCTGACACAGAGGAGAGAGAGCTGGACACGAGCTGGCCAGTCCCCCAGCACACACGCACACAAGATACTACCAGGCCTCTGAATACAAACACAGATGCACTCTGGATGTCATTTAAACAACAAGCAGCCACTCAGAGACACACACACACACACACCGAGACACTGGCACCACATGCCACCCTCACCAGGAACATCTTTTTATCCATCTAATTCCTCCCACAATGAATAATGCATTCCCCTCCTTACTGAGACTCTGGTTTAACGCATCACTGCACGGGTCTTTCAGGGGGTCCTTATTCATAAACAGCAGTGCAGTAAATACCAGAGCTTTGCAGCCAATTTAATGGCAGTTATGCTTAACAAATCTGCCTAAATCTAATGATCAGCCACAAAGCTAGGCTATGGGTTTAATCTGCACACAGAGGCTCCCCCAGCTCTGCGACTCACTGAGTATGCTTAGGGATCTCTCCATCCAGAGAGAGGAGAGCACGGGTCTGACACTTAATCCTCCCGACACAACACTTGGATCAACACAAACATAGGACAATGTTAGTCTTTCATGAATAAGAATAACATTCAAAGTCCTAAAACACCGCAGAGACAATGCATAGAGATATGAAAACATTATGAAGCTGTGCTGTGCAAAGCCTCGCTATTCCCCGTCTGGACCGCCTGAGTTGTTCCTGCTTCCAGTGCTGACCCTGCGCCTAAACAACAATACCATGTGGAATTTAGTACATGCATTTAGACTGAGTAGGGCTTTACAACTGTAGGTACTGCTGTACAACAAACCACTGTACTGAAGGGCCAAAGAGATTCAGCTACGGTTGTAAGCACATCATCATAAAAACAACATTAAGGTTTGAAAATATAAAAACTTTAAAAAGTTGGCTGGGGCTATTATTTCCTTAATGACACTACTAAAGTACACAACACAAGAATATTTTTTGAGTGCCATTTATCAAAAATAAAATTATGCCTAAACATGTTTTATACATCAGACTGGGATGAAAACACCACATGGAAAACAGCTGGATATGCCTGTCTGAATGTTCATTTCAGTGTTTTTTCTGACCACTGTTAAACATACGATGGGCTGACAACATAATACCTGGTGTAAGAGCCTAGGAGACTGATGCTGCTCACCCGGGTAGGGAGGCATATATACGTTAAATATAAGTTCAATTTTTTAAAACCATGTTCTGCACTGATTTTATATTGAGAAAGAAAGCATTTTGTGTCTGAACCTAGTAGGGACCAGAGGTATCATGACAATGGCCCTTTAAGGACACCAGTTCCATGGACCCCTGGCCAGTAAATAACCTGAGAGTTAGTTTATAGGAGGGGAATTAGAACCAGAGCAGGAGTGTGTAATGGGGATGGATAGGAGGCTCAGTCCTGGGTCAAAGCCACTTAGAAATCAATGTGGAGGTACAGGTGTACAACCACAGGTCTGCAGGAGTAATAAAACCTTTAAAAAGAAGGGGGAGAGAGTAAAAGAAGGAGAAACAGTGGGAAAACAAACTGCGATCATTCATTTCCATTACCACAATTAAAAACACCATTCAGGTGGGTACTGGTTTTTAATTTGCAAACGAAAGCAGAAAGAAGAAGACTAATGTTGTGATCTGAGGAGAGCAATCACAAGACAAACTGCATTACTGTCCCGCCTCCCACCCCCACTGCGATGGAACTTTAAGGATGGTCACAGAACCAAAGGCTATGACATTTCATGCATAAATAAAGTCATATATGTGCTTTTCATGTTCATGTGCATTAAGAACTAAATTAAAGAGATGAAATGTAAATTTGCTAATTAAATAATATCCCACCATTACTAATAAAAATGTCACATTTGCTGTGGTAGAAATAAGCACTAAGGAAAATGGAAATAGCCATGACACTTGGATTAAAACACTCCTGAAGCCATTAAAATGCTAAGTGGGTCCAACCAATTGGCATAACCACATTTCACTAGAGGAATGTCAGAGGAGCACACAAGTAGCAGCAATTACTATTAGAATACTGTTAACTATGGCTGCTGCATATTTAATATGTGGTAGAGGAAAACAAAGGTTATGTTAATAAGGGTTTATTAAGCATTCACACTCTATAAAATGTCTGTGTTGAGGCATTTGATGTATTATTTGGGAAAATAAAGCTTTTTTCTGATTAACTAATTTTCATTTACTACATATATCACAACAAATGCTAAATGTAGATTATCTTTTTCATTATAGTTCAACTAAGCAAAAAAGTTTAAATAATATAACATTTTAAACCTCAGCAAGAACAGCATCATGGACCTGCTGTGCCCTCTTGTGGTAAAAACGATTTGCAATTTTTTCCATTCTCCTTATATAATTATTCTCACCACCTTGAATCAAAAGGCCAAGCAAATTTGTTACATTTCAGAACCCACACGTATTCGAGCAATCTTTCAGAGCATCTCAGAGAGAGTCCCATCATAAGCTAATGATGGTGTTTACACAGATGTAAGCCAAAAGAAACGGCTGTAGATGGCACCAGTTTCACCAGTGGTGGTGTGGTGATGGTGCTGGTGGTGACTGAAGGTAGGTAGCTCTAGCATGAAACTCCAAATCAACCCACCCTGCTCCACCCAGCGCTCCCTCTCCCTGCGACTCTATGCTCTACTACAGTGTGCTTCGCTCCGCCACACTCTGCCCAGCTCCTCAGATATTTGTCACTATGAAGTTAAATAAATGAGATTGCAACAAAACTTACTGATCAAACAGAAGTAACTGAAAATCTCTGAGTGGTTAGAGAGGTCAGTCTCACTCAAAACCTTTCAGAAGCTAACATCTCTGCACTGCTGCCAGTGCTGTTCAATGAGTCTGGGTCACAGGAGGCTTCGACAGCACCTCTACACATTAAGACGAGTTTTGGAGCTGATTTTTACAACAAAAACATTTGGAAAAAGTTACATACTGTAGGTTTAAGTAAACACAGCAACAACAAAGTATAAAAATAGTGTGTTACAAGTAACAGTTCTGCATTTAAAATGTTGCTTAAGTACAAAAATACTAGCATTAAAATATGCTTAAAGTACCAAAAGTAAAAGTACTCATTATGTAGAATAGCACATTTTACATTAATGTATATCATATTATTGGATTAATTATTGACACATTATTGTGTCCATCACATTTAGTTATGCAGCTGGTAAAGGTGGAGCTTATTTTCACTACCTTACATGCTTATAATTTGAAGTACTGCTGAGTATTTTGTAAATTTCCCATCAGGGATAGATAAAGTCAGATTATATTGTATTTTGTATAATTAATCTGATTCTGAAAAGTAACTAGTAAATAAAGTTATTAAATAAATGTAGTGGAGTAAAAAAGTACAATATTTGCCTCTAAAATGTAGAGAGGTCAAAATATGAAGTAGCAGAAAATGAAAATGCTCAAGTACAGATACCTCCAAACTGTACTTAAGTACAGTACTTGATTAAATATTCTTTGTTACGTTCCACCACTGAGTTTCATAATAAAAAATTCCCACTGGACTGTAGAGTTCATGCACTTTTGTCACCTTCCATTTTCACTTAAGCTCTCCATCTGCAACCACAAAGCGACACCTTGACAATCTAGTTATATTTTTGCATCTCAGATACGCTATGCATTAAGTTATTTTCCTAGTGTATTACTGTCTGTTTCAACCCTAAGCTTTAGCCATTTCATTATTTGTATCCTGGGTGTTAGCCCATATTTATTAGCCACTTGAGCAACTAAATTGATTTTTATTCTGCCACAAGTGGACAAGGGTAGATTGTTTCCATGTTTTTGACAAACCACTATTGCTGAATTCTCCATGATTGCACGGTTATTGTTATTTAATTTAGTTGTCTCATTTACTATTGTACAAATTAACTTTCTGAAAGAAAATACAGTCGGCAGAGTCCAGTTAATTTGTGACTTGAAAACCTGCGGTTCACTGATAAAAGACTGGCCACATTATTTTTTTCAGTATCTAGTTTTTGTTATTAAATCTAATAAACTAGTCACACTGCTTCGAAGAAAGGCATATTTGTTGAAACATAAACTCCATGGAAGCATTTGGAAAAACTGTGAGAAATAATTTAACTTTACATTTTGCACTTTTGCCTCCTTCAAATTGTATTGACTTTTATGCTTTGATTATTTGTAGAGATGAAGATATCGGATCATCAAGGTTAGGAAGACATTTAAGTTGAAAAGCGTTTTTCTCCAGTGAAGGTCTCCAGATTGCTGTAAATCTAAATTATGTACTGCAGCTTCTCATAATATACACACACAGCAATTAAGCTGCTGTGACTTTCCATGGGACAAAAGATATGAATATGAAGACAATTAACGATTTTATGTTGATTTGATTTCTCTCATGCCGTCTGTCTACCCAGACAAAGCAGCAAGTCTGAACAAATGGCCACTACTTGTGCTAATTTAAACTAAAGGAAAGAGGAAATACATTTGTTTCCAAACCATTATATAGTGAGCCATGCATTTGCTGGGTACAAATGGACACCATTCATTACCGTTAACAATGACATCCAATTCAGCCCAGTTAATGAACTTCACAAGAATCATGTTCGGTATTAAGGAGTGATTTGTTGAGTCTAAATGTATCATTTTGGAGACTAATGTTGATGAATGTCTGGCGGTGGAAGGATGGAGATACTGTATGTGGGGAGCAGAGGCATTCTTGTCAGGCGCCCTTCTACTACAATGTAAGACCACATCACCACCTAGTGGTCACATAATGTAAACACATTTTATTGCGTACTGATTATTTCTAACATAGATATAACTAAACATTACTGAATTCAGAAAACAAACAAAGATTTTATGGACCTCACCAATGCCTGAGTTGCCCCCAGTAATGACCACAACTCTGTCAGAGAGGTCACGACCTTGCAGGATCTCTAGAGCGGCAGTGTTTCCGTCATACCGTTTTGGCTTCACCATCACATCTTCTACTGTAAATGCTTGGCGTGGGTCAAAATATGTGGTCCGCTTGTTAATGTGACTGAAAATTAGAGAGGGAACAGAATGTTATAATAGAGCCATAAAATCCTACTTATCACATGCAGCCAAGATAAACACATTTGCTTTCTCAGTTAAGCAGAGGTTCACTTACTCAACATAAATGATCTGTCCTTTTTCATCTGTTTCTTGCTCCCAACCATATGGTAAATCTGTGAGAAAAGACAGGCATCACTTTTCTATAAGAGCCAGAATACATGCCACAGTTGATAGTTATATAATAAAAAAACAGCAATTTGTGTAGCATTTTTCCAAACAAAGTTACTGAAAGCAAGTAGAAAGGCATTTAACAAGACAACTGTCCAATAAAGGTAAGGTGATGGCACCATTAAAGAGTATAAAGAGCCATTTTAAACATGACAATAGGGGATAATGTATAATTCAAGCCACCTCTAAACTCTATGTCCTGCTTTAATAACTCTGATTGACCTGCATTATTCATCTAAAAGTGGTCACACTGATATTATAAGGACCCTGTGCAGAAAGAATTAAACAATTTCAAACTAAGCCTTGTACAGTGAGGAACAGAAGTATTTGAACACCCTGCGATTTTGCAAGTTCTCCCACTTAGAAATCATGGAGGGGTCTGACATTCACATGGTAGGTGCATTCCCACTCTGAGAGACAGAATAAAAAAACACATTTCAGGAAATCACATTGTATGATTTTTAAAGAATTTATTTGTCTTGCACTGCTGAACATAAGTATTTGAACACCTGAGAAACAGCAAGAATTGTGGCTCTCAAAGACCTGTTACTGTGCCTTGAAAAAGTCCACCTCTACTCCACTCATTAATCTAAATTAGTAGCACCTGTCTGAGCTCTTTAAAGACACCTGTCCACCCCACAGTCAGTCAGACGCCAACTACTACCATGGGCAAGACCAAAGAGCTGTCAAAAGACACCAGAGACAAAATTGTGGACCTCCACAAGGCTGGAAAGGGCTACAGGGCAATTGCCAAGCAGCTTGGTGAAAATAGATCAACTGTTGGAGCAATTGTTAGAAAATGGAAGAGGCTAAAGACGACTGTCAGTCTCCCTCGGACTGGGGCGCCATGCAAGATCTCACCTCGTGGGGTATCACGGATGATGAGAAAGGTGAGGAATCAGCCCAGAACGATAGGGAGGAGCTGGTCAATGACATGAAGAGAGCTGGGACCACAGTTTCAAAGGTCACTGTCGGTAGAACACTACGCCGTCATGGTTTCAAATCATGCATTGCACGGAAGGTTCCCCTGCTCAAGTCATCACATGTCCAGGCCCGTCTGAAGTTTGCCAAAGACCATCTGGATGATCCAGAGGAGGCATGGGAGAAAGTCATGTGGTCAGATGAGACCAAAGTAGAACTTTTTGGTCTAAACTTCACTCATCGTGTTTGGAGGAAAAAGAAGGATGAGTTGCATCCCAAGAACACCATCCCTACTGTGAAGCATGGGGGTGGTAACATCATGCTTTGGGGGTGCTTTTCTGCGAAGGGGACAGGACGTCTGCACTGTATTAAGGAGAGGATGAATGAGGCCATTTATTGTGAGATTTTGAGCAACAACCTCCTTCCCTCAGCCAGAGCATTGAAGATGGGTCGTGGCTGGGTCTTCCAACATGACAACGACCCGAAGCA